GCTAGGCGGTGGCCTTATAACCTTTACGGCTATAATGTTAGTTAGTGCCTCTAGCGTCTGCATAATGCAAGTGTATTTATTACTTTATAGCTGCTTTTTAGCCGGCAAAGTGTTGTTAAGCGGCAAGGTGTTGTTAAGCGGCATATATACTAGTCTTGTTTTTAATTCGACGGATAAGGTTAAGGTGCCTATAGATGCTACGCGTAAGGTATAGCTGTCGTGCATTAGCGTAAAGGGTAGCATTAGTACGTCCTTAGCTTCTAATAGTTCACGTGCTAATTATAAAGTAGCCGCCTTATAATTAAACATTGCTTCTTATAGAAAAGAAGTTAAAGAATATAAGGGGCTAGTATACAATGCGTAGTTATAAAGGCTTAACTAGTTTATACTATTATATTAAGACTTTAACTTAACAAACTATAAGAGACTAGTAGGCAAAGGCTTGCTAGCTAATATATATATAGCTAGAAGATGTAGTATAGCGCAAACCTAGTAAGGCATAGCATAGCTAAGTAGCTATACTAGTCTTATATAACGTGTTAAAATAGTTTATTAAGTCTATTATTTAATAAGCAACTAGTTGCTAAACTAGTGCGTAAGGACGCGTATATAGAATACTCTTATAAAGTGCTACTAAAGCAGCTTTAAACTAAGCTATTAAATAACCTTTAGGTTAACTACGTTTAAGTTAGCATAGGAATCTAGGTTTATAATAATAGTAGCCTAGTAATTACTAGGCGTCTATGCTTTAGCTAAGGTATAGTAGTAAGGAATTATATTCCTAGTTAGCTATGCTAATAAGGTTAATAAAGAGTAAGGCTTCTTTATTAACCTTGCTAGTTTTCCTAGTTAAAGTAGGTTGCCCCTTAGTTATTAAGCTCTTAAAGACTATCTTCTAGTTTTACTTAAAGCTTCTTAACTTATACGTAGGTTTTAAGCTTAGAGCACTCTTAAAAGGTATGTTTACTCTTACTATAATTCTAGCACTTTAACGTAACATTAATGTTATTTAAACTACTAAGGTTAATAGGTTAAGAAGTAAACTAACCTTAGCTAGCGACTAGTTATAAGCTTAGGTTGCTTTTTATAAAACTGCGGTTTTTTATCTTATTATTATTACAGCGCTATTTCTTTGTTAGCTTGCTAACTAGCACGCCGTTAACTATAACCGCTTACTTCTAGTTGTCTTATCTCTTTCTTTATTCCTAGCTCTAGGACTAATACTCTTTATAAGCATTAGCAATCTTTATTACTATACTAAAAGACTTGCTAATAGTATTATTCTAATACTACTTCGCTAAGTAGTTATTAAGCTCTTACTAATACCTTTAGGCAATCTTGCTTGCCTAGTTAAAGGTATTGCTAATCTTTTGTTATAAGTAGTTATATTTCTACTAGTATGCTATTAGCGACTTGCTGCCTTGCTAAAGCGTCTAGCTTTCCTTATAGATACAGTGCATCTAGAATTTAAGGTTTAAGTGTTCCTAACGGATAAACGCGACGAAGTGCGTTTATGTATAGTGTATAACTAGGGGTTTACTAGCGCAAAGTTAGTTATAGTGCTTTTACTAATTAGCCGCTAATATAGTAGTTAGCTAACTACTTGCTTAAATAATCTTTATGTCTTTTAACGCGTTACTGCGTATATTAGTGTTATAGGCGTCCTTTATTGTCGTTAACTACTCTTTTATCTTTATAGTAAAGGCACTAATTTCTAGCCTTTTAATACTATATTATAGTAGCTTGTTGTTATAGTAGCGACTGCTAAGTAGTAGCCCTATAACCCTTACAGCTATAATGTTAGTTAGTGCCTCTAGCGTTTATATAATGTAAGTGTATTTATCGCTTTATAGCTGCTTTTTAGCCGGCAAGGTGTTGTTAAGCAGCAAGGTATTATTAAGCGGCACGTGTACTAGTCTCGTTTCTAATTTAACGGACAAGGTTAGGGTGCTTGCAGATACTGCGCGCAAGGTGTGGCTGCCGTGCATTAGCGTAGAGGGTGGCATTAGCACGTCCTTAGCTTTTAACAGTTTGCGTGCTAATTGCGGAGTAGCCGCCTTATAATTAGACATTGCTTCTTATAGAAAAGAAGTTAAAGAATATAAGGGGCTAGTATGCAATGCGTAGTTATAAAGGCTTAACTAGTTTATACTATTGTATTAAGACTTTAACTTAACAAACTATAGAAGACTAGTAGGCGAAGGCCTGCTAGCTAATATATACGTGGCTAGAAGATGCGGTGTAGCGCAAACCTAGTAGGGCGTGGCATAGCTAAGTAGCTGTGCTAGTCCTGTGCAACGTGTTAAGATAGTTTGTTAAGTCCGTCGCTTAGTAAGCGACTAGTTGCCGAACCGGTGCGTAGGGACGCGTGTGTGGAATACCCTTACATTATATTTTTTAATATATTATTATATATATTAGTATTATAAGCGTTCTTTATTATTATTAACTACTTCTTTATCTTAATAGTAGTAGCATTAATTTCTAGCTTTCTAATACTATATTATAGTAGCTTATTATTATAGTAGCAATTGCTAAATAGTAGCCTTATAGCCTTTATAGCTATAATGTTAGTTAGTGCCTTTAGCGTTTATATAATATAAGTATATTTATTACTTTATAACTACCTATTAGCTAGCAAGGTATTATTAAGTAGTATATATACTAGTCTTATATCTAATTTAATAGATAAGGTTAGAGTGCTTTTAAACATTATACGTAAAGTATAGCTACTATGCATTAGCGTAAAAAGTAGCATTAATACGTCCTTTACTTTTAATAGTTTGCGTATAGATTGCAAAGTAGCTGCCTTATAATTAAACATTGCTTTTTATAAAAAAGAAGTTAAAGAATATAAGGGTTAGTGTGTAATATATAGTTATAAAGGCTTAAACGTGTTTATACTTATTATATTAAGACTTAAACTTAATAAACTATAGTAAACTAGTAGGTAACAGCCTGCTAGCTAATTTATATATAACTAAAAGATTTAGTATAGCATAACCTTAGTAGGGCGTAGCATAGCTAAGTAGCTATGCTAGTCTTATATAACGTATTAAGATAGTTTATTAAGTCTAACGCTTAATAAGCGATAGGTTGCTAAACTAATACGTAAGAACGCGTATATAAAATACCTTTATAGCTTTTTACTACTCTTTAATATTTGACTATTTATAACCTTTCTCTTAAATACTAGTATGATATAAATAAGACTAAGCTTACTAAAGGCTTTAAAGTAAATATCTTAGTTAATAGTAAGGCTAAGAAAAGCTTAAAGATTATAAAAGTAGCAAAAAGTTAAATTTAAGTAATAATATTTAAGTATATTTTAGCTATTAGTAAAGCTCTTCTTTCTTACGTTATATTTACTAATAAGTTAGTTTAGTAATAGTACTTTCTTACTTTTTTTAAAAACAAATATAACAATTAGTTTTTTATAGTAAGTAACTTAAGCTAAACTAATATTAAACTTATAGTTAACTAGCTTATATTTATCTTTTTACTTTTTACTAAGCTAAATAATATAAACTAATAGTAGCTACTAGTTCTTAATAAATATAAAAGCTATATTATTAATAATTTTATAGTTAAGTATATAAATAATAAGGTTTAGCTTATTATACTCCTTACTTACTTTTTTTATATTACTTAGCCTTTTAATATAAGCTGCTTTTTACTACTTAAGTTATAATACTAATTTTACCTCTTTAACCTTTTTAACCTTAATAATTTAAGCGCTACTAATAAGCAAACCTTTATTTATTATTACTTAAAGGCTAAATGAAACGCCTTAATAAAAACAAATATTAAAAGCAGTTAAAAAGCTATAAGACTATAGCTAATATCTTTATACTAAGTACTTTTAAATCTATTTATTTTACTATAAGCGCTATATACTCTAGCTACGCTAAAGACTCTTAATACACTTTATACAACTCTTTTACGCTATACTTAATCTAGTAATATCGTTTTTAGTACGCTATCTACTAGCTAGAAGATGCTATAGCGGATTGCATTAGTAAAAAAAGAGAAGTAATGTAAATAAGTTTACGCAGTACCTTCTTTATAAAGCTAGCTACGCAATTAATTTAAAAACAGCTATAATAGCCTTTTAAAAGCAGCGAATTAACAAGCTAGAAGTATTACAATTAGCGCAAAAGGTTAGTAAGCGCCGTAAACTAAAGCTTGCGCCGAATAAGCAGTTTGTACAAATTTAAGAGGTTGTAGCGGTTAGAGAGCGCGTTATAAGGGAGATTTAACCAGAAAACACGGCTAGGAAGATGCAGGCGGAGTCTATAAACAGATTCATGCACGTTTTTCATTATGTAACTGGTGAAGAAGTCCAGGAAGACTGAATAAAAGATGTGCGTGGATTGAATAATTATTGGTCGAAAGGAGGGGGTGGTCGAAAGGGGGGGTGGCGGACTTAGTTAACTACCCAACGAAATATCATCACTAGATCTTCTGAAGGCCTTAGAGCTTACTACGATACGTGCAACTGGTCCGGACGTAAATCCCACAAGGATTACCGTACGGGTCTTACACTGGTGCTCGCGCAGAACCTGCGCGGCAGACTAGTGGTGCACGGAGTAGAAGCCACACTAGTTTTAATATATTCTGCCGTCTTTGACCGACTAAATAAGTTATGTAGGACTGCGTGTGTGTTAATAATTTCGGTCCCTTCTAAGAATAAGGAACCTGTAACAGTTCGTTTCTTCCTAGAATAAGAATTCCAAAACCATTCTGCCTTAATACTATTTATTTTTTACGGGTCTGTCCTCGTCCGCTGCTTTTTTGTGTGTTCTTAATGTTTTCTTTTTCCCTCTCTATACGCACATCTTCTATTTGAATAGCACTTCCCTGTCTGCTCTCTCTTTATAATTATGCCTCCCCAAGACCGGTCCTCATTCCGAGTCCTTTTCATTTGGAACGGCCAGAACCACGAATATATCGGTGGCCTGGAGGATATCACAACCCTCACCAACAAAGATTTCTTGCAAATGCTCGGCGTCCTCCTCCTCCCATCTTCTGATACTTTTGTTCAGCACGAGGACGGCTATCAAGTAATTAGCAAGGACGACCCACTCCAGCCAGGGCACTACATCGTATGGGCAGACGATTTTCAGGTAAGAATAACCGCCATGGCGGCTTTCTCTCATTCTTCTGCCGGGTTGGCTCTATACTTACCGGACCGCATCAATCGCGATAGATCAACAATGAGATTGTCTTGACCAGAGCTCTCTCAGTCACTACTGGTCCCCGATTGAACCATTTCCGCGAGAATGTGCAACGACGTGACGGGCGGTGCGTCGTGAGCAAATTGACGAATAACCGTGCTGACCGTGGAAATTGGTCCGCGTTTCAAGCTGCACACATATTCCCACTTGCCTACCAGCAGCAATGGATCGACGGGGACTATGGACGCGACGTTACAATAGTGCCATCTATCGGAGGTCGAATTAACTCTGTCCAGAATGGCCTCCTGCTCCTTGCAAGTGTGCATGTCGACTTTGACAATTACCATTTTTCCATCAACGTGGATGTAAGTCGTTCTTCATTTGAACTTAACTGCGTACCGACTTTAGTTTGTCGATTCTGATGCTAAATAAGAAACGTAGAATGGCTATAAAGTCGTCCTTTTCGAGCCAGATAACCTGAATATCGCTGGCCAAGCTCTCGACCGTCGTCTCCTTGACGATCCGTCTCGTCCATTGGATTCTCTTTTACGATGGCATTTTCGGCAGGCTGTACTGGCAAACATGCGCGGCGCTGGCGAGCCGATTTTTGAAAACGACTTCCCCTCATATTCTGATATGATGGGTGAGATCATGGAAGGACCCAAAGCAGCACAACGTATGGAATTCGAGCTTTTTAACCGACTAGGTGCGTTCTATGACCTTGGCGAACCGCACGAAGCCGACCATGATGAAGTAAGAGAGATGCCAAAGGCGGAGGGAATGACGACTTGCAGTGACCAGCCTAGCAGTCCTATTTGTGAGGACATGGAAGAACGTGAGGACATGGGAAAGCACACGCACGATTAGGTAGCATGATTTGTTCTTCTTTTGTTCTTCTCTGCCAGAAACGTGACAGCATAATTATAGTGACTGTTTAAATGCACATATATCTTACCACCAACATATCGCTACTAGTCCACAATGCATCTTTTTAAACTATTACGGCCGTGTAGTTAATCTAGGAACTTGTATAGCCCTCTCTTAAGTAACTTTAAGAACAAAATGTATTAAAAGCTACGTCGAGAAGAGGCACCTCTTTGCCTCGGCTAGTCCGTTAGTTAACCTGCAATATATGTGTCGGTGTTTTGCAGATGGTGCCGAACCCCCCCTAAACCAGACCAAATTAAAATTAACCGCACAGCCATTGCCAGCGATAATCAGCACACCAATAAGGGTTATTGTTTATAAGCACTAGGATTGAGCAGAGATAGTCACCGTTGAGAAGAATCCGAAAAAATTGTAAGTTATATTGCTGGCACCTTGATGGCCTAGCGGTATATAGGTTACAACTATATATATATAAAAGAGGGCCATCAGCTCTAAAGACAGGCTTAGCTCGATCAAAGCTGTGTTTCATTAAATATTCCGTTTATGAAGCCAGTCTATAAGTCTAAGTATCCTAGCAGCCTGTGTAACACCTTGTAAAGAATGAATCTGAAGAATTAAAACAAAAATCAAAAGAGAAGATAAAGAGCGAGTGACAAGAACGCAAATCACATTGTCGGGTGCTTCACTTTGTCACTCGATACCAAGGCCTATGCGGCCCAACTCGACCTCACCATTACTCTGCCTTCTTGGAAGTCTTTGTCCGCAGCTTCATGAGAAGGTATACCATGCCGTATGAGCTAAAGACAAAGATAGCCACGATGCCGGTGTCACGCCAGCCATCCAAGTATTTCGTAAGGTTGACTGTGTGTAGGTAGTCACTTGCATCCCGGTATGGGCACACCTTGCAACCTGACAAGTCGTCTGGGTTGAGCAACCGGGTGCCCGATCCGGCGCCGTTCATGTAAGTACTGAGGTATGACGAACAGGTGCTGCCACTAGGCGGGTCAAATAAGGCAAGCTCATGACTGCCGCACTCAACCTTGGTGCCCCACATGTCAAACACCAGCAGGCTGCCGGTAAGGTAGTTGTAGGGGTTGAGGTAATATAGCCAGTAGCGCCAGAAGGACTGAATCTCAGAGTATGGAACCAGCACACCACAGAACGACACGAGGATTCCGATGAACAGCGGGTTGACCAGTGTCGCAAAGACATCATTTGGAGCATACGCCGCAATTGCTTGCCCAATACCGGTGTAGACGAACTCGTACAGCCAGATAACGAAGAACGTACCGCCGGCGCGGGCTGAGTCTTTCGGGAAACCGACAGTGTAGTACCAGCAGACAAAGTACAGCACCGCGCACATACAGAGGTAGGGGATCTCCGACACAATCAAGCCTGTCACGAAGGCGACCCATGAGTACATCTTGGACTTCTTCTCGCGGGTTTCGAAGATGTCGCGTCGGGCAATGAACAATGGTTGGAGCTGAGCGATGACACCGGGTGCGACGAAGATGAAGTTGAAGATGGTAAAGACACGCAGTTGCAGCGCAGAGACGCTATGCTTAATCATCCAGAAGGAGAAACCGTTGAAGAGAGCAGATGTAATGTGCAGAACGAGCTTGTTGTTGACGTAGTTAACGTTTCGGTATAGAGCCACGTTCATGCGTGCAGTCACAATATAGATCTGATCCCACAGCGGCATGGCAAACTCGAACCCATCGTCATTGTCGCTGGCAGATGGACGTGATGCGCCCTCCTTAATAAGTCTGTCCAGCTCTGTCGTTACAGCCGTGTACTCCGGCGACTCTAGCCACACTTTGGCCCAGTCCTTACCCTGCGACATCAGGCCCGACACAACATCGATCATGTATTCTGCCGGGTTTGTCTCGGGAGGGCATGCTGCACCATAGCGTGCAAAGTAAGCCTTGATTGTAGCCGCGTTGTCTCCAATGTCGCCGAAGTAAACCGTGTTCCCACCTCGAGCCAGGAGCAACAGCGTGTCAAACTCAGCAAACAGCTGTGCCGATGGTTGATGGATCGTCACCAGAACCGCCTGACCGGCGTCAGCCAGCTTACGCAAGAAGCGCACGGTGTTGTAAGCAGACTGGCCATCAAGCCCTGAAGTTGGCTCATCCAAGAAAATCAGGATGCTAGGCTTCGCCACCAGCTCCACGCCAATGGTCACACGCTTTCGCTGCTCCACACTAAGGCCGGCACCCACTTGCCCAATGAGCGTGTCGGCGAGGTCGTGCAATTCCAGAAGATCGATGATTGTGTCAACGTAGCGCAGCTTCTCCTCCCGGGGCGTTGTCCGGCTCTGGCGTAGGAGCGCTGAGAACTCAAGCGCTTCACGCACCGTCGCGAACGGCTCGTGCACATCAAGTTGCTCGCAGTAGCCAGCAGACCGTTGGAAAGCCACTGGTAGTGGTCGTCCATCTACCATAATCGAGCCGTGGATGGTGCCGTCCGTCTTGCGCTGTGCCAGAACATCCAGCAGTGTCGTCTTTCCCGCTCCCGAAGAGCCCATGAGTGCACCCAGCATACCTGGCTTGACCCAGCCCTGCACGTTGTTGAGCAGCTGGCGGTCGCCTGAAGGAGTCTTCACAACATAGCATAGGTTCTTCCAGGTGAAGGTTGACGTGTTTCGGACCAGGTTGCCACTGCTTTCATTGTCGCTGCTGTTGCCAGCCACCTCCTTAGTCTCTGCCACATCATTAGCCACATGGTCCTCATCCTGAGCCTCTTCGTCAGCTGCCAGCATGTGGCCTAGCGATTTAGCTTTCTCACGCGGGATAAGCAGCGATGGCCCGGACTCAGAAGATGCGCGCCAATTGGTGGTGGCCACAATGGTGATAATAACAAAGATAAGCCACCAAGCCCAGATGATGCCAAAGTTACGCCACACGTGTGAGTGGCTGTAATGCAAGGCGTTTAGGTAGTGGTCGCCAGTTAGAGATGTCTGGCCCTGGACGGCACCCAGCACGCCAGCACAAGACTGGTGGCCACTAGCGTTCTCATAGCCAATACCGTTAGGAATCAGATTGCCACCAACACAGTCGATAACTTTGCCGTGAAACTCGTTTGAAAGCAGAGCGTCAAACCCAAAGGCCAGCGGATTGATCCAGAAAAGCCAGATGAACCATGGGTGCATCTGCGTATAATGAATCATGTATCCACTGTACATAACTATGGCGCTGATGACAAGGCCAGACACCTTGGAGGCGGCGTCAAATGTTCCGAATAGAGCTCCGATTGCTCGAAACATAGCTGTTACACACTATTCCGGTTGTCAGAAAATGATTAATTCGAATGCAGCAGTACAAAGAACAAGTGTCTTACCAAGGTCGTTGCAATCAAAACAATCCAATAAGTGAAGAAGCTCGCTGCGGACGTTGTCAAGCCTACCATAAAGTAGAGGATCAACGAGAAGCACGTGATCTGGAAGAGAATAACCGGGATGTCGGCAGCGATCTGCGCAACGCAGTAGGCAGCAGGGTGAAAGTAAGCCAGCGCTTTATGTTTCAACAGCACTGGGCGTCCTTGGAAAGAGTCCGTCACTTCGCTCATGGACAACAGGCTGTTGTACATAAGCGAGAAGAACAGCGCGCCCGACTTCGTAAAGATGCCTGCCGAATTGCTAGGCGCGTTGTAAAACAGTGAACCGGCAATGAGTGCTTGTACAATTGTGGAAAACTGCTTGATGAAGAATGAGGCGCGGTCACCCCAGATGATTTGGTACTGTCGTATAATACAAGCCTTCACCTGGGTAGAAAATCCAACCGTAAAGGGGCTCGATCCAAGATGAGGATTCTTCTCAGTCGCAATAGCATTTGTAAAAGCTTGCGTGTTCGCCTGCGCCTCCTCTGTGGACGGATAGTCATACTCGCGCTGCATCTTTGTGAAGATAGGCGTTTTCTCGTAGGCCTCGCGGACGGCCTTTCCACTGCGCGGGAACGTCCGCTCGAAACCGGGCTTGATCTGCCGCTCCGTCGGCACCGTTATACCCGTCAGGTAGTCAGCAACGTTTGCACCATCACGGCAGACAAATCCCTGGTCCTCCATGAAGGGTCGCGCCTCCTCCCGTGTGCCATAAAAGACCTCGTTGCCGTTGTCAAGAACAAGCACCTTGTCGAACAGGTTATAGATTCCATTCCCGGCCTGATATAGCGTGACGACAGTGGCCAGGCCCAGCACGTCCGTCATAGCACGAATAGCCTTTGTCCACTCGAGAGCGGTACTGGCGTCAAGACCGCGGGTGCTGTTATCCCAAAAGAAGATAGAACCGTGCGTAGCCATGCACTCAATTATGCTCACACGCTTGCGCTCACCGCCCGAAACACCTCGCACAAAGGCGTCGCCGACCTTGGTACCGTCCGTATGGGAGATGCTCATAGACTCAAGCAAAAAGTCCTTGTTCTCCTGTCGAATGTCGTCTTTGTCGATGTAACCTTCGGGCATCTTGAACGGAACCTTCAGCTGCGTGGCAAAGTCCATCGTCTGGCCAACCGTCAGCGTCGGGAAGAAGAGTTCCTCCTCTGTGTTCATGACGATCTGTCCGCGGTAGTTTTTCGCCTCTGAAGGAGTCATGCTTCCGTAAAATACGTCGCCGTCGACAGACGAGTAGCCACGGCGGCGGTTGGCTAGCACGCTAAGCAGAGTTGTGCAGCCTGCACCCGGGCGACCGAGCACGAGCAGCATTTCGCCAGGTTTGACGCAGCCATGAGTGTTGTTGAGAATGGACTTCATTGGCGGCTTCCTGCGTGCGTCTCGGATGACTTGGGGTATGTTGAACTGCGACATAAAGTTGTCGTGGATGGCGGCGTCGTTCGCGACAGCTTTGACCGTCAGGTTCTTCCAGGTGAGGCCGAGCTGGCGCGGCGGGATGCCCGAGCGTTGCTCACGCTCGCGCTTCTCCTTGACTTTGTACTCCAGTGCCCAGCCATCGCTGTCCTGGCCGGCGCCATTGTCAGAGCCGTCGGCCGACGTCGGCCTCTCTTCGGCGACAGTCGAGCTGCCGTTGTCAGAGGCCATGTTGTGGTCGTGATGTATGATGTTGACCAATGGTTCTAGGCGAAAAGAAAATATGAAATATAAAAGAACGTGGAATTGGTGAAGGAAGGACCGCTCGTGGACGTCTTGTTAGATCAGTCTTGGCACGAGCAAAGATCTTCAAGTGTCCCGAGCGATTGCGACACACATCGAGGAACAGAAGGTTGGGACCAAGAGCGCCTGCACGGTAGGTTATATACAACATGCCCGGTCATACGGGGCACTCCAACACCCCGTAGCGAGATATCCCATTTATTTCGAGGGACGCTGTCCCGGCGGCGCAGCTGGTGGCATTCCTAGCGCCGGGTCCGAGAATCGTTCAGTGTTGTCGCTCTTAATGCCGATTAGTTACTATCAACCTGCGTTTCAACCGCTGAGTCATCGGGGTTTCTATCAATTTCCTGTACAATCTGAGTAATCCCGTATACCCGCGCTTACTAGCGGGTCCTTTACGACGTGGACAGTCCGGGCTTGGAGTACTTACTCCGTACGTATCCATCCAGCCTAGTCAGCCGCTGAATCAGCGGCTTTTTTCTCTATCACGAACAGAGTAGCTGTGGGCATTTTGTTGTAGTTTCCTTTTATATAATCGTAGTTAGAAGTAGACTGCGGCTTACAGCCGTTTTATTATGTTGTCTTCTCCCACACATATGTATCTTAGGTCCATACCTCGGAAATATATTGCTCCGTTATAGATTACGTGTTTACAGAGTACCGTACTCATAGTTCAGGCGCAGTCTTATCGGTGGAACCAATGCGGGATTATTCGGGGGAGGTAACCGCCTAATCCATACTATGTTCTCCGTTAGTAATGTTTTTATGGGCTCCTTCATACCTGAATTCTCGGGAATGGATTCTCAGATGCGGTCATGGAATCCTGAAACGCCACGTTCCATCGCAGTTTCGCCCTGTTAGGTCTCCGACTGCTTTACGGAAGCGGAGTTACGCCTTCGAAGCCACTCGTGTGCGCGGCCGCCTGTCTGCCGCTGATGCGTTCCCGCTAAACTCATTATCCTCCCTCAACCTTCCCTCCTCGTCCTCCCCCCCTCCCCCCAAATTACACCCCATCACCTTACCGTTCAGCCGTTTTTGGCTACCGATTGTCTAGCCATTCGGCTTTAGGCCATGGCCCGACAAAAGGCATGCGACTGCTGCCACAGCCGAAAGGTGAGCGAAAATTGCAGTGACGCACAACTAAAACCCCTGTGTACCTGGTTCTCCCCTAAGCACCCTGGCTGTATCTTTTGACACAGAACACAATAGATTCACTGCGACAATGCCATTCCTCAGTGCAACTGGTGTAAACACCATGGACTGGCCTGCACATACGATCGGGTCAATAAACGGGCAGCCCGGGCCAGCAGCACTAAGTAAGAAAGAGAAGGCCGAAGTGTGTGACCTAAAACTGACATTCTGTCAACACAGGCGGCGGCTCGTAAAAGCTCTAGAGCCCACGGGGTCATTGGGATCAGCCGCAGCCTCGCCGTGCTCGGATGCGGATGCTGTCGTCAGCATCGCCCGAGCACCGGCACCTACATCGCCGTCAACCAGAAGCAGAACAGATACTATTTTTTGCATCAATACCGCCCGCGACCTGCAGCCGGCCTCTAATGACATACACTTTTCTAGTTATAAGCTGAGCGACATCAGCTCTCACTGCGGCATCCCGCTCTTTTCGGCCCATGGCCGGGAGTGGCTCAAAGCGCGCACGGGTGAGGACGTCGGTAACCAGATCGTGTACCTCGTGGAGGCCCTCCAGGGCGGCCGCCGTATCACCCAAACTATGCTATCTGAGTTTATGCTGTCGCGTACAAACTTGGACCTTCCACCGCGCGCCGTTGTCGACAGCTGCTTGGAAGCCTATAGGACATCGCATTTTCAGCTGGTTTTTCCCATTGTCGAGCACATGCTTTTCGCCCAGATAATCGACGCCGCATATACGCCACAGAAGTATCCTGTGCACGACGGCCTGGCCGCAGCCGCGGCGACCACATCGCTCGATCACATCACAGCCAAGGCGTCGATTTTTGCGTTCCTGTCTGTGCTGGCAGCGGCGCGTGTCGAGTTCCGTGATCTTACCCCCGAAATCGACGGCGATGCATGTGCGTTCAAAGCACAGCACTTGTTGCCGTACGTTCTACAGGAAACCAGCGTTACGGCAATGCAAACGATGGTCATGCTGGTGAGTCCTACCCCTTCTCTCTAATCCGTGTTCCCTTCTCGATCAAAGCCTCTGACATGCCCCGGACCATGTACCACCTCTTCACTGGCCAGATGGGTGCCGCCATGAAGACGCACGCAATGGGGTGCCGAATGTTGTTCATACTGGGAGCGCATATGGCACCGACGCCACCGGATGAAAACGGGAGAAATAGCATCGCTTGGCGTGTTAAGTCATACCTACGCACCGTCTTCTGGTTATGCTACACATTTGACAAAGATATTGCCCTCCGTACAGGCCAGCCGCCTTGCATCGAAGACGAGCACTGCGATCTTACGTTGCCGGAACACTATACGAAGCACGGACACCACTGTGACAGCTCCGAAGAGCAGAGTAATAACATTGACTTGTCGACGTCCTCGCCATGTCCATCGTCGTCCTCGCCGGTCCGAACGGACGGCACCGAAGCGCATTGGCTGCCGGGTGATTTGCGTCTTGTCATCATCAAGTCTAAGACTTACCGTATGCTTTACTCCGCCGCTGCTTTGCGCAAGCCTGATGCCGAGCTAGTGCGCGATATTCGTGAACTGGATGAGGAAGTCGAGCGTTGGCGCCTCTCCGTGCCGGCGTATACTCGGCCACAGTTATTTTACGCACAAGCACAACCTCTGAACCATGACAATATGCCACGCTCACGGTTGGTGCGCCGTACTATACTGCACTTTGAGTACCACTACCTGCTAGCGACAATTCACCGTGCTGTCAGTCGCTGCCGCACATGGGGTGTCGACGGCGATGTCAGTAGTGGAGGCGAAGATGAAATCAAGGGTTTGGGCTCGAGTTTGTCGTTGTCGGTGGAAGCCAGTCGCGCGACCATTTTCTATCTGCGCCTAGCCATAAAAACCCTGTTCGAAGATGCATTCTGGTAAGCTTCATATTCTCTGCCTTTTTCGCAGCAGGCTATTATCTAACTTTCTTACCCTCTCGCCTCAGGTTAGTCGTCTCGTACCCTATGTCGGCGACGATGACTATCTTTGGAAACATTATGATGCACCCGCTGCACCCACGCTCGCGCGAGGACCTGCAGCTTCTCAACATCACACCGGAGCTACTGAAGCAGATGCGACCACCTGACTGGACCCCCAATGAGTTGGCAAATATGCAGATAATTGAGAGCTTCATAGCCGAGCTGATCCGGCTTGGTGACAATGCCATTACAAAAGCGACGCGAGATCGGGACAGCGATGGCAAGAGTGTAGGTAGGTAGGGGAGTTTAGGCCGTCTAACCAGTCGGTAGGAGCTTCTTTAAACGGTAGACGTGGATAAACATAATTAGACAATATTAAACAGCACTGGTTTTCGGAGTATGTCGTATTGCAAGTAAAGACATTCGTACTTGGGAACTTTTGTTCTGAATACAAGAGGCTCTTCAAAGTTTGCATGACACCAAATGTATAGCGATAGCCCTCTTTGGCATAGCATGGCGTGCTCTAAGACACTTCGTTGCCATTTCGGTCCTGCAAATATTGACCGTACGCGCCTAGCATATACTAGAGTCATCCCGATTAGTTATACTACAGTTTCGCCGTGCCCTAAGCATATGCTGGCATGTTGTCTGGGGTAGTCTTATATGAGTAGTTGTTTCCTTAGTTAGTCCCAAAGTGGTCCGGGTGTATATATCAGGATTTACTCTGAAACTGGTTTTATTCTTACATTCCAGCTTGCTTGCTAATGATTACACATACTCCGTAGTAGTTCACATTATCTATTTCACATTATCATTACTTCTGTCTTCTTTCATTTACGATGTCAGTTTATAACATGATCATGAAAATAAGCGCCTACAGGTTATATAAAATTTATTTTCCATTCATTTTATCGACGCTTTTCAAGGGGCTATATCCTCTAAAAGTTAGCTCATCTCCCGAACGGCATTGAACGGGAGAAACGGTGTCCTAGGCACTCCGGTGCTTTCGCCTTGTCGTAGTAGCAAAGGGAAACCACCTCTGCCTCTAGGTGAAAGCAGCAATAGCAGTATACAAAGTCTGTAATACTAGCCGTTGTAACTAGGCTGTCATCCTCTTGCAGAAAGGCTATGCCTGGCGCGATATTTCATTCGCAACAGCTACTCTCCCACTATATATCAAATAATTCCATTTTTGTGTAAGCAAGATGGAGCGTAGTACCAAATCATAAGATGTAATTGAGACCAAAAGTATAGATGATAAAAAGTAATACAGATATTATACATTCTTAAAGAGAAACTCCTTGTCCTATGCACCGTCCCCCCGTTCCCCTCTCCTCCTTTAAGCTTTTGCAGCTGCGTCTAAAAAGTTTTCAACTCTTAAAACAAATTCCTATCTAGTGTATCCCTACTAAATAAAGATTATAGGGCGTTTTATTAATTCCATCTTCGGCCTTAAGTTTTTTCGGAATGGCAGTCTATATATTTATATCTTTATTATCTTTATTAAGCAGCAAGGGAAGTTAAAGCCCTTAGTACCAAAGACCACAAACATCTTTTACTATAGGGTCTTCATAAATACAATATTAGCTTCCTAAGATGCTGGAACGCCTGGTGTTAGAGTTAAGGACTTGCAAAACATAGTTTTAGTATCCAAAAACAACTCAGCGGCAAAATTAGACGTCATTTTTAGCTTTGCACCTAGCATTGCGAAGGGGGCGCCCGGCTAATTATATACTTCTACAGCATTTAGAAAGTCGCAAGCGCTAGAAAAGCAACGCTTCTTTTTTATTAAGAAACGCTAAGCAGTAAGTTATAGAAACTGTGTCCTCATTTGTTATAAGATCTCTATGTTATAAGACGGTCGTAGCTAAAAACACCAAATTTCTCTTTTTTTTGCATCGTAGAGTATTAATCTATTACCTATGTCAGCACCTGCAGTGTTCAAACAACATATTTGTAAAGGTGTACGGTTCTTAGCAAAGCGTTACAGCGTTCTGTTTACTTTCTAATAACACAATTCGCTATTTAGAAGAAATTGCTTAAGGTTCCTAAGATTCCGTCCCTATTTGTAGTTTTTCTATATTCTCTCGGAAACGATACTAGACAAATTATAGAAAAGAAGGAGCTCTTTATTAACCTTTGATTATTTATGACTGTTATATAAGCTTAGAAAAAATGCACGAATTGCTAGTATATATAGTTGCACGATCGTAATAATATAAAGTAAACATAGCCATTATAAAATGCATTCATATTAAATTAAATAAAGTTAATTTGCATTAAATAAACTGCTTATTTTTTTACGTCTAATTCTAACCAAGGCTTGTCTTAAGTTTTATATATAAACTTTCACGTAATTGAAATTTTCTAGCTATTAAATCTTTAGGAAGCAGTGACTGTATATTTGTAGGAACTTGGTTTTATTTTTTAGACTAGGAGAAGCGGGGGTTGTTTGCACTTAGGGATAGGGCGTCGTAAAATGGAAAGAGATAGGATGTATCGGCGACGTTAGAAGATAATCGAATGGGAGAGCTCTGCTAGATAAGGACACTGTTTTTTGCTAAAGTAATTCGTAGAAAGGTTAGCGAATTCAAGTCGTTACCTTAGTTTACTGCTATGCAGACTGTTTATAAGATATTGCTTTTTACTGTCCGCGTTTTCACACAACGCAAAATTTATAATCTTGTCCCCCGCCCAAAAACTCAAATTTTTGGTACTTTAGAAGAGAAACATTTACAATATTACTGATAATCACACGCTAATATGTAGACTTGCGTGCCCGTACTAATATAGCCTGTCGGCTACAGTTTATGGGGTTGAGTGTTAGTACTTTCACCCTAGATCGTTTGGCGATCTTTGCGGGGTAGAAGTCAGATGCCAAAAGAAGGAAATAATAGCTTGCGTCAGGCTTGTGAAAGAAAATCATGGTACAGTTGCCGAACTGTTGGTTCTCGCACAGTCAAACTACAAATATTATAAAGGCCACGTTGTTCGTCCGTTAGTTGTGCCAACCTTGCATGTTATCTTACATCCTGTGTTTAATAGAAGACCGGAACTAAACTCCTTAACTCGGCATGATGCTCGCAACACGTTTTCTCTCAGTCGGGCTTTTTCTCGTCCCGTCGGTATTTGCGGATGGTGCTGCGATTGTGTCTGCCCTGCAGATTATAACGACAGATACGGCAGCATTGAATAATACCGTTATCTCTTGGGGTGGGGATCTTCTCGGTGCTCTTCCAGTCGGGGTAAAGTCCACGGTCCTCCTCCATGCAATTCATAAAGCCACCGATACCGCAAAGTCCTCAGCCAACTTGAGTCTACTTGAGGCTGTGTCTGTCGCCATCACGACCCAGGGGCTGATTCAGGACGTCAATGCCACGCTCTCGTCTATCATCGAGGCCAAGCCTAAATTTGACCACCTACTACTAAGTCCTGTCATCTTATTGAATCTGGAATTGGAGAAAGGTGCAACAGATAAACTCACCGCTGCGGTAGCCAGCAAGGTTCCCTCAAACTTGGTTTCTGCTGCAGACGCACTGTCAGCGCAGATAGATGCGTTATTTTCAAAGGCTATCTCGGTCTATACAGATTGGTCGAAGTAGTTAAATCCTTTCATATTACCTGCTATGCATAGCCTCTTTGGCCATTTATATATAGTTTAATGTTTGATTTCCTATTATGTCTGTGTCTTAGTACGAGTATATAGGACATGTTGTAATATACTCTATTAAAGAGGAATCTATATTCAAAGCTTTGCGCTTAATGCGGCTTGTTATGCTAAGATTGCCTTATAGAATATTAATAATTGCATAAAGAAGGTAAGATATTTAAAAGCACTTTTCTACCTATTCTTTTTTACTTTTAAGCTAAGGCTTTTAAGGGTTTTAAGATTTTATAATACTAAGCTACTAATTTATATATAATTTAGATTAAGAAGGTATAACGCCCGCCTAGAGAAGGGCGCCGGCGCGGGCCACGCGCAAGCTGTACGCAGTATGCGCACAGCTCATTAAATGCGCATCGTGGTCAGCGCACAGGCACCAGCACGTGCAGACGCACGCGCTAAGTAGAAGCGGGGTCGCGCCTGCCTTGCGCACTAGGTGCGCAAGAGGTGCGCCTATAATGAAGAGCGCCTCCCGCACTCTCTTAAAGTGTAGGAGGCAGGAATTAGCTATTAAATATACTGTTACTTTCTTTTATTAAAGAGATACCTTCTTACTTGCCTATCTTACTTAGCCTACTAAGTATACCCTTAATAGATAAAATACTAGTATACTACTTTTATTATTTACTTTAAAGTATTTTAACCTTTTAGTTAGTATAAGCTATAAGCTATACTAATTTCATTAAGCTAGTAGTATATAGTATAAATTACTAGTTTTAAATAATATATACTTAGGTATATAACCCACTTAAATAAGCTAAAGTTTATAAATATTTATTTTCTTAAGGCTTAGCAAACTTAAAAAAAAAACTTAAGAATTATAAGAATTTATTAATAGTATAAAATTATATATAAATTAGATTATAACCTTTTGTACTACTTTTGCTTTACTTATTAACCTTATACAATTATTTATGGTTAAGTATAAAAAAACAGTAATTATAATGCTTACTTTAAAAAAATTGTTAATATATAAGGGTATTCCACACACACGTCCCTACGCACCGGTTCGGCAACTAGTCGCTTACCAAGCGACAGACTTAACAAACTATCTTAACACGTTGCACAGAATTAGCACAGCCACTTAGCTGTGCCACGCCCCACTAGGGTTGCGCTACACCGCATCTTCTAGCCACGTATATATTAGCTGGCAGGCCTTCGCCTACCAGTCTCCTATAGTTTGTTAAGTTAAAGTCTTAATACAATAGTACAAACCGGTTAAGCCTTCGTGACTACGCATTGCACACCAACCCCTTATATTCTTTAACTTCTATTCTACAAGGAGCAATGTCCGATTATAGGGCGGCCACTCTGCGATTAGCACGCGAACTGTTAGAAGCTAAGGACGTGCCGATGCTACCCCCTACGCTAATGCACGGCAGCTATACCTTAAGCGCAGCATCTGCAGGCACTTTAACCCTGTCTGTTAAGTCGGAAACAAGACTAGTATACGTGCCGCTTAATAACACCTTGCCGGCTAAAAAGTAGCTGTAAAGCAATAAATATACTTGCATTATATAGACGCTAGAGGCATTAACTAATATTATAGCTGTAAGGGTTATAGGGCTACTACCTAGCAGTCGCTACTATAACGATAAGCTACTATAATATAGCATTAGGAGGCTAGAAATTAGTG